AAGAGTTTTATTCAATCTGCAAGGGGTCGCGTCATCAAGTTGGAACCAACTTGATGAGAATTAACATCTGGTCTATGTTGCAAGAAGTAAGGCCAGAGTGTTCCTTAGAGGCAAGGATGGCAAGACTTCATCTGAGGTGCTTAGGACATGTTGTCAGGAGAGACGGGTCCCTGGAGAAGGACAGCATGCTTGGTAAAGTAGAGAGGCAGTGAAGAAGGGGAGGACCCTCAATGAGATGGAGTGACATAGTGGCTGCATCAATGGATCCAGGCATAGGGGCAATTGTATGGATGGCGCAGGACCGTGCAGGGGGTCTTTCCGTGGTGGAGAGGGGCGGGCAGTATGGGTCAGAGCTGACTCTAGGCACCAAACAACCACAACAATAGTAATTATAAACATAGTTAACTTCTGGTACACCTGTGCCTATTCTTCAATGTACATTTCATGCTTCTGAAGCAAAGGGTTGGTTTTATTTCCACTTTCTGGTATTTTAAAGGAGCCCTAGTGGCTATGAATTGGGCTGCTAACTGAAAGGTCAGTGGTTAGAAACTACCCACCTCTCGGAGGGAGAAAGATGAGGCATTCCATTCTTGTAAAGAGTTTCAGTCTGGGAAACCCACCGAGGCAGTTCTACCCTGACTTACAGGGTCGCCACGAGTCAGAAACAATTTGATGGCCATGAGATTGATTGGACTGGACTTGTCCTTGACTTTTCCTCCTCCCGTCTTTCCCCAATGCAAGTGATTTCGTACCTCGATTCCTGCAGCCCTCTGTGGATATAATGCTCCTCTTCCGACCCTTTCTGTCCTTTAACCAGTTATTGCCAACATAGTTTCTTCCGGGAGAGCTTTTGGGAGTGTTCTTTTCTGTTTTCTATGCACCATTGTATCCTGCATCTCGTCCCATCCCATTGTTTGTGACTTCTCATTTTAGGCTCAGGCTTATTCATTTTTGTGACCCCAGATACCCAGAGCCTGGTCTGCAAAGGAACTACCACATGGGGTCAATAGCATATCCTCAACGTTTCTTTTTGGCTAACCATCGACTCTGCAGCGTTAAAAGAGGGTGCCCAGAGGGTGCACCAGTTAAGCCCCTGGCTGTTCACTGAATGGCTGACAGTTGATACCCAACCATGCCACTGCCGTAGAGAAAGACCTGCCAACAAGCTTCGGGAAAGTTCCCCCAGACCAAACCCCACCCCCAGGCACTGACTCAGCTCCAACACCGAGAGTCCCTGTCTATTTTGATAGAAGTAGAGGGTATCACCATCCGGCCTCAAAACAGCCTAGAAAACCTCACGGGGCAGCTCTTCTCTGTTAGCTGGGGAAGCTAGGAGTTAAAGACATGTGCCAAACTCAAAAACCAAATCCACTGCCATCCAGTTGACGCCGATTCATAGCGACCCCATAGGACAGGGCAGAACTACCCCTCTGAGTTTCCGAGACGGAAACTGTCCACCGAGTAGAAAGCCCTGTCTTATTCCTGTGGAATGGTTGCTGGTTTGGAACTGCCGACCTTGAGGTTCCCAGTCCAAAAATACTGTCTGTACAATTCATCCTCTTGCTTATTGCCAGGGAGTCAATGCTGACGCATAGCAACCTCCTGTGGCTTTCTGAAAGCTTTATTTGGCCATCCCTGATCCCGCGTGATGAAAGACAGGGGTTTTTATCCTGTGGCATAAACATGATATAGGGGTAGGTAGAGTTATGCTATATGGAGAAATAGGAACTTAGATATGGGAACCGGTGGTGCTAGGCTATTTGGGAAAAACAGGAACTTGTCTAACTTATTATTATTTTTATGCAGCGAATGCTAGATGCCTCTTCAGTTTCTGTCCTGAGGCACATGGCTTCTTAAGAACTTCCTCAAAATATAGGGGGAAAGGGGGCTTACAAGCAAGATCAGCAATTACAAAAATACATGGAAACGGTTCAGCAGTTACAAAAAGAGTTACAATAGTAACAATGTGACCACACTTAGGCAGATACAAAAAGGCTACACTTAAGTTAACTTATACAAAATGGTTACATTAGGCTACAACATTACTATTTACTGGAGTAGAAAGCCTCGACTTTCTCCTGAGGACCTGCTTGCTGGTGGTTTCGAACTGCCAAACGGTGAGGATCACAGCCCAACATGTAACCACTACAATGCCCTAGAATTGTTCATTTATCAAACATTAGAGATCAAGGCATTCTAAACAAAGGCCTCCTCACTATTGATTGATTCTCTGGGCCCCCACTTGAGAAATACCTCCTCTTTATCTGGTGCCCTAAGGAGTTAATTTTCTCTTAAAATTTCGGCTGGACTCACCCTTCCTTTTGCATGCCACTTTTATCTACTGAAGTAATGTGTAGAGTATCGGTTTATAAAATTATACTCTTTCTGCATGCAAACCTTTCTCTCCCCCTCCCCCGCCCCAAAGGCAATTTCCTTAACTACATCCGCAGCTCTGCAGACTTTCAACAACTTCAGACTAGGAGGTTAGGCTTTGGAGGGATGCTCACCTTAATTTTCATTCCTCAAGTCATATTTTCCCCTGGTCTTCCAAAGTTCACTTCTGCTACAGTCCGAACAGTTTGATTTCACCTCTCTCACCTAAACATTCAAAGCGCCGTTCTTTTTTCCCCCTCCCTCCGAACTTGGCTTTCGATCAGGTAGGAAACATTGGCTGATATCCTAAAAGAGAATTTCATTTGCAAAGGGTTTCACGTTTTTTAATCTTTGGTTTGGACCAGCGAGGAGGAATAAAAGGCTGTTCGTTTAGATAATGCGTTTTAAGCCAAATCCCAACCCCCTGCAACTCACAAACAAACAACAACAAAGATCCCCAGGGCCGCTTTGGGGACATAGGGGCCTGGAGCCCCTGATAAATGAGTTAGCATCTCCGGGACTAGATCGCTGCGGGGCTGACATCGATCTGGGTCAGCCGGTGTTTGCCAGCGATTGTTTGGGGGGTGGTTAATTGAGTGTCAGTCTCGGCCTGTGTCGTCTCTCTGGCGCCGGGAGCGTTTGGATTTGCTAATTTTCGTTAAGTGTCTCTAGCCGGCTCCAGGTCCCGTCTACCCCAGAGAACCTAGCGGCTCCTACTGATCAACAGTCTGTCTGTCTGGGCTTTATTGATCACAGAGCCGGTAGCTCCGAGCGGATGCGCCGCAGGGGAGGCGCGGGGGTGGGGGGGAGGGGGAGG